TTCTTTCTTTCTTTCTTTCTCCAAACAGTGTTTTCATAGCACTGACAACACAGCCTTGTCAAGGGCACTGTGGATCTCTCAGTCCAAGGCCATGGTTTGGCTACATCAACACACATGTTGGCAGGAATTATCCACAGACCGAGAGAGAGTCTTGACTGGGCTGCTTCAGTGGGCAGGACAGTGGGACCCCTCAGGTCCTGAAAAGATTACACACATTCCTGACTTCCCATACATATGCTTCACCTTCAGCGCCATTGTGATCCCGACAGTGTGAACAGTACAAACACACCGATAATGTACAGCACATATACATCCATAATATTTACCACGTGTCTCTCCTTTTACATAAACCCCCTCGCTAATATAGGATTAGCTCTCCTCATAGAATCTAATCCATCGCACCGGCCATGGCCGAAGCACATTCCCTTTCACTGTTTGAGGAGTCAGTGGACACATAAACCTCTTTAGTTAATGACCAATATGTGAGAATACATAATTTTGTATGCTGAAATTCAGTGTACAGTGGTATATAGAATATAAATTAGTAAACTAACTGCTTTGGCTAAGAAATGACCCTTTTGTTTATTGGTGATGGATTGCTGTATTTTTGTTTTGCATGAAGAGGCAATTATTTGCACTTTAGCTGATTGAGCGTTGCGTAACCTCCAGCTGAGATTTGCTGTGAAAATTGTGAGAAACTGGAGAGATGTGTGGGAATCTTTCACTAATTAAAGTCACTTAACAAACTTTAAATTTAAATTAGCATGAAACATCTTAATTTGCTTAACATTTAAAACACTCAACTATCCATTTATGCAATATTAAATGGAATGACATGAAATGAAATTTGAAGGCATATTGTGACAAAGTTGCAATAATGAAATAATTTCTTACAATTGCAAGAAATAAAATCATGATTCTGAGATTTTATTTTCCGTTTTTGCTGGTTTCCATGCTATCTTCTCATCCAGTTTGGATGGTATAAGTGTTTATTGGTCTTAAAGCATCAGATTTTTCACTATATTTTGCCTTGCTTGTGAGAAACTAGTGATGGTTAGACAAAATAGAAAGGCAGGAATTCCTTATCCCAGTGCCAAAGCTTTTTCACACTGCAGTGATATGGGTATTGTCTCTGGGAATACGGTGTGGTGTCCTCTCCAGTATTGTTTGTTTTTGGTGTAGTGTGTGCACATGGTTGTTACATAATGCATATGTTTGTGACAGGGTGAATTTTACTTGTTTCTGAACACATTTAGACCTAAATATGAAAGCCGTTGATCCTTGCGATGCCCTAGTGCTGGTCCTGAGAATCTTTTGAGGGGAAAGGCTATTCTACAAGCTAGTACAAAGGGTCAGGATAAGAAGATAATCTGTGAAATTAGATATATTTAACTTAAACTGAATCTCAAGTTGATAATTGTACCATTGCCATGAAGGAATTTTAATGAGAAGATTTTTTCATGTTAGTACCCAAAGATTCTCATGTTGTGTGATCTGCCTGCAGATGTGTTTTTGTTTGTATGTGTGGCTCAGTCTGTTGTTGATGTAAATCAGTCTAAATCTCTTTTTGCCATTGCATTTCTATAGGCCCTATCAGAGGCGCTATATGAATCCCCGCCAGAGCCCATGCATTCAACCTGCTGTCATCTTTTAGATATTACTATGAAATGTACACACAGAGAAATCCCAGAAATATGTCTGCTCTGTAACAGAGGGCATGTCTAAGGCTTGCATCAGGATGCTGATTTGAGCATTACAGTGAAGCATGACAGAATGAGAAACTCAGCTTCCTGCTGACAACAGGTCACTTGACACCTTTGCACTATAAAGACCTTTTGTAACTTTCAACCAGCAAGCATGCACTGGTATGTGAATTAATGTCTCAGTCTGAACTACTGTGTGAAGATTGAGCACTAGGACTTTGAATTTGTGTCACCTGACAGAAAGAAGAGGTCACAAGATCTGCCATGTGCAGCTAGATTTTTACAGAGAAAAATGTGAGTGCAAAACCCATAGCTACGTTGCTAGGGTGTTCTGGATGGTTGCCAGGGTGTTGTTATGTGGTTACGAAGGAGCTCTGGTTCTAGTGTTGCTTAGGTGCAGAGGTTGCCAGGTTGTTGCATACTGGCCCAAATAAAAAACAACAGCACGCAAAATAATAGCAAACCTCTCCTTGCCACACACAATTTGAGGCATCATTCATGTGTGAAGTACAAACGGGCTGGACAGGTAACATGCTGAAGTTGAATTCTATTCTCCTCTTTGTAACTCATCCCGCTGCTCTCTAGTAATGTCTCAGCAGCAGTGCACCTCTGCTCTTCCTCTTTTAATCCACGTTCCTCTCAAACATCAGGCCTTCTGAACATCCTCCCCTAGCAGAGGCTGACTAAAAATGGATATTTCTTCAAGAGCTGCAGCCTTAAAAGGCTCACAGACCTCTCTCTCTCTCTTTCTCTCTCTTGCTCGTTTTGTGTCTCACATGTAGAATATGTCTGAACTGCCTCATTGTTTCACTCTATGGTTTGGTCTGATGTCTGTCTACATTTTCTCTGTCCGTTTTAAAACAGTTATATAAACACATTATGTTGTTTATTATTTTAGAAGTTAATCTACAATTTATTTTAGTCCTCAGAATCGGAACTGTTAATGAAAGGACAATGAGGGGTTTAAATACGGTCCTAACACAAAATTAACCATGATTAAATGAGAAACTGGATCTGAAACTTAAATCATTTTAAACGCAAAAATGTTTATATTCCACACTTAAAATGGTAACCTTGACCTACTCGACTGTAGTTAACAGATAAACTCATAGTAAAACGCTTGTGTTTTGCCATAATCTTTTGCATTAAGTGCACACATCAGAGTTTTGAACAGTTTTAAAGATTATTAAAAACACCAGACATCATATCAAATTACCAGAAAATTATATAATATTTATTTTTTTATTCTGAGGTTGACAAGCAATATTTGTGAAGATCACTTCCTTTCACTGACTATTTTTTTCATGTATTTGTTCAGGCCTTATTTTGGACTTTATTTGTATGGACTGTTAAATTTTCCGGATGTGTTCACTAACAGTTTATATTCGTCTCCCACAGTACATGTGGTCAAAATGGACGCTGGGAATGTGAGCAACATGCCTGTCTGATAGAGGATGACATGATCCAGGAAATCAACAGGAGAAGTTATGGGTAAGCATCAGGAATCCCATCTAGTCTGCCATTACCGTATTCAATATACAGTATATAAACTAGTGCACAAACCTATTTCTCTCTCCTGCTTAGTCTCTTTATCTTTTTACCTGTCCAGTTGGAGGGCCACAAACTACAGTCAGTTCTGGGGTATGACTCTGGACGAGGGTCTGCGGTATCGTCTGGGAACACAACGCCCCTCACGGACCATTATGAACATGAATGAGATCCAGGTGAGAGTCATCTGCAGCCAGTATGTTACTGGCATGTGAAACAGACAGTTACTAAGGGATAATGAGTAGTCAGACATTTATTATTGCAGGACCCATATGCAAAGCGGAACGTCACGTTATCCTGAAGGGTTTACTTGGTCTTGTTTTCCACTAAAAATATCTAATCATATAATAATATCTAACTTGATTTCAGTGAATACATCTTAAGGTTTTCACATAGGTTTGTTTTACTACTGTATATATACTGACATTTTGTGAAGTTTACACTATGGTTCAAACGTTTGGGTTGGTAAATTATTTCCATTTTATTTTTAAAGAAGTCTCCATAGCTGCATTTATTTGATAAAAATAGAGTAAAACAGTAATATTGTGAAATATGATGTGAAAATGATTTGACGCTCAAGAAACATTTCTTATTATTAATGAATAAAAAACATTATACTTTTTATATAATAGGAGGTACAGGATTCTTTTTGTAACATCATAAGTGTATTTACAGTCATTTTTTATTACTTTTTAATGTGAATCTTGCTGGATAAATGTATTAATTTCTTTAATAATAAAAAAAATCTTACTGACCCTAAACTTTGGAACAATAAAAAAAAAGAAAATGGATAGAAATATATATATATATACTTTCCCTGTTGGGTCAAGTGTTGCTGCAAGCCGTGGCCCTTCAGGGATCCTTTAACCACCACAATTCACCGCTGCAGTGAACACTTGACAAGCACCTGCATTCCACAGGATCATATCTGGAAGTGGTCAGGGAGAATCATGACGATATCACAGGCTGGAATGTAGGAGGATGGCAACCAGCAGCTGTGCATTACCAAAGAGGGAGAGGCACACAGGAGCCTTTATGAGAGAAAGTACTAATACATTCCTTATTCAGGAATTCTGAAAATTTGGGGTGTAAAATATGACTGAAATTGGTCTGGGGAGAGTTATAGATGGCCCTTCAGGGATCCTTTAACCACCACAATTCACCGCTGCAGTGAACACTTGACAAGCACCTGCATTCCACAGGATCATATCTGGAAGTGGTCAGGGAGAATCATGACGATATCACAGGCTGGAATGTAGGAGGACGGCAACCAGCAGCTGTGCATTACCAAAGAGGGAGAGGCACACAGGAGCCTTTATGAGAGAAAGTATTAATACATTCCTTATTCAGGAATTCTGAAAATTTGGGGTGTAAAATATGACTGAAATTGGTCTGGGGAGAGTTATAGATTTGGGAGGTGTAAAGCATGCATGAATGTGACCCTGTTGAGGTTAGGTTTAGGGTTTTGTGTTCACACCTGGTATTTACATACATTTTGGTTATTCCGATCACAAGCGGAAGGCTAATTATGACTTTTTTTTTAAATTATTGATGGAACAGGTAAACTCTAAAAAATGCTGGGTTAAATGTAACCCAGCACTGGGTTAAAAAGGGACAAACTTCAAATTTCTAAAAGGGTGATAAAACAGAGCGGTTTCATGTGGCCCAAAGAGGGTATTAAATATTTAGGGATTCATATTTCTCCTTTACTACAGGATTTATATGAAGTAAACTACCCCAAACTAAGTAGATGTATTCATAGCGACCTACAAAGATGGTCAGAAACTCCCTTATCGTTTTTAGGCAGTATTGAAAGTATGCGAATGAATATATTACCCAGACTCCTCTACCTTTTTCAAATGTTACCTGTAGAAATTCCCAAGAGTGTATTTGTCAAATTGGAGAAGCAGATTTCTAAATTTATTTGGGCAGGGCAAAGGCCAAGAATGAAATATATAACATTACAGCTTATGAAAACTGATGGGGGAGTAGGTCTTCCAAATCTTAAATGCTATTATTGGGCAGCACAGCTAAAACCAATAGAGGCATGGTTGAAGGATAATATAGATACGCGTTGGTTAAACATAGAGAAAGGCCTCTGTCGGTATCCCCTGTTTTCACTCCCTTTCATAGATTTCAGCTGGGGAAATGTGATAATGGGTAAGTGGACAAGAGTTACTTCAAAAATATGGAAAAAGATACGATCTTCATTGAAAATTACTCATTCCATTTCTCTATGTTCCGAGGCCCATAAAGTAACTAACTCAAACACATGGAGAGAATTTAAATGGAGAGTTATTACCAGATACTTCTGCACTTCACAAATTGTAGCAAAGATGCGAATAGGATCATCTAGCAGATGCTGGAGAGAGTGTGGTGATCTATTGGGAAACCACACTCATATCTTTTGGTCCTGCCCAAAGATACAACAATTCTGGGAAGATATCTAAAAAAGTATTTGGAGACATATTTCATATTGATATTCCTTTTGGTCCAACTGTGGCTATTCTAGGAGTGATACCTGAAGGCATGAGGGAAAGGAGATTGAGTTATCTACTTAAAATATTATGTTCTGCAGCCCTAAAATGTATCACGTCTAAATGGCTCAAATCTGACCCACCCACATATGAACACTGGATCTGAGAAATTTACGAAATGGAAAAAATAACTTATTCCCTTAGACTTCAGATGAATATTTTTGAGGCAAGATGGAGTCCAATCGTAAGAATAATACATGATAATTGCTAACTGATTATACATAGTGGAGTGGATAATGTATGCAACTATATGTACATGTTCACAAAACATATGTTTTTTCCTTTTATTTGTTCTTATTTAAAAAATCTTGAAACTGTGAAAAACACCTACCTCTTGTTTTTTTTCTTTTCTTTTCTTTTCTTTTTCTCTATCTTTGTAAATTTTTTCAAATGTCGGCACCTCTATTGTCTATCTCTGATGTATAACTTTTATAGCATGTTCTAATAAAAAAAAAAGAGTAAAGAAAAAAAGGGGGACAAACCCAGCTATTGGGTTGTTTTGACTCAAAACAACCTAATAGCTGGGTTTGTCCCTTTTTAACCCAGCATTTTATTAGTGTAACAAACTCTAATTTTTTTTACTGGAGTACTTCTGAAAACCTACAAAATTAACAAATCACCGTTATATAACGACACAAAGGCTTTATTACAGTATTTTGCTCATGCAAACCTTGGACTTTGGAGACCCAGACTTCCTCTCATCCATCCACTGGTCCTGCTAAAAATAATACACATGGAAATGATTGTATTATGCCACCAAAATCACTCAATCACACCATGGACATATTTATGGAAATCTTTATTCTGTGTTATTCATGTCTTCAATGCCAAACACAGACATTAAGCCATAAAAGAAAAAAAAAAGTTAAATCTTGCTTTATGTGTTGCAGATGAATATGAATGGAAACGATCATCTGCCAAGTTACTTTAACGCAGCAGACAAATGGCCAAGGAAAATCCATGAGCCCTTGGACCAGGGGAACTGCAATGCATCCTGGGCTTTCTCAACTGCAGGTGAGTCAGAAAAGACATGACACAGAACACCGCAGAATACAGTACTGTGTGAATGTTATATAATGCAGTTCTGTTCTTTCACTTATATGTGAACCCCTCTGACTCACTTCTAGCTGTTGCATCAGACCGGATCTCTATTCAGTCAATGGGTCACATGACCCCTCAGCTCTCACCTCAGAATCTGATTTCCTGTGACACACGTCATCAGGGTGGCTGCTCCGGTGGGCGTATCGATGGGGCCTGGTGGTACCTAAGGAGAAGAGGGTAATTCACTTGTTTACGCACAACATCAAAGATGTGAAGATGGTGCACGTCTGACAAATAATACTTTGACATCATATCGTTTTTGCAATGTATACTACCATTAACATAATTAGAATATTATATCAGGCAATCTTTTTGATTTTAAATATGTCTTTTTCTCTCAGAGTCGTGACAGAGGAGTGTTACCCTTTCTCTCTGCCCCAGCAAACTCCTGCTGATGTGGCTCGCTGTATGATGCAAAGTCAAGCGGTGGGCCGGGGAAAGAGGCAGGCCACAGCACACTGTCCCAATAGCTACAGCTACCACAATGATATCTACCAGTCAACCCCACCATACAGACTGTCTTCCAATGTAAGTCAGCTGACCCCTCGAATCAAGCAGAAAATCTTTTAGAAAATGACAATAAGTCTTATTACCCTATATAATACTGTTTCTAAAGTAACTTTATCTTGTTTAAAGGATGTTTTATTGGACAAGTGTCATGTATAATCAGGCATCCCGTATGTTCTGACACGTTAGAATTACATTCTCTATAAAACATGCAGACCTCTGCCCGCATAATACCAATGGTTAAAGCATCAGTGATTTACTGTTTTTCCCCCTCACACCCAGAATCTGTGTGCTTTTCTGTGAAATCAAATCCAATGGGAGGAATATCTCACAACTGTCTGGAGAGGCATTACATTAGTAGTCATGTTATGGTTGAATGTATTTTCTCCCTGGGCCATATCTTACCACCCATTTGTCTTGTCTAATGCATAGTCTAGGTCATATACATGTCTCTAGGCGTTCTTTGTTTTCGATCGTATATCATTCACAGATGTGACAAAGAAATGTGGTGAACAATTAAACAGTTCAATGTAATAATATATGGAAGGATGACTGTTTATTATGTGTACTAAAATGTTTTTACCCATGCAGCTTAAGACTACTAATACTGTATGTAAAACGTTCATTTCATATCATTATTTCAGTAATTTATATATATATAAGCATATATCTTTTCTTGGTGCAATATATATGCAGAATTTGCAGTGTAAAAATAGCATTAGGCTGGAATATGCTGTTCATTCTCACTAACTGAACTCATTTGACATGTTGCTTTTCCACTCACAGGAGAATGAGATTATGAAAGAGATTATGGATAATGGCCCTGTGCAAGGTATGGATTTCTCCAGAAGCATGTGTGTGTGTGTGTGTTTGCACAATACTGTGAGCCAGAGGATAAGAATAGTAAAAAGCACATGCCTAATGACCGTTCAAGCAGTCAGCAAGGATCAGTCTATGTCGCATTAGACGCCCATACGGCATTTAGTTTGGACAAAAAGCCTAAACTCATCATATATGCAGTGAATTCTTGAGAAAAGTCCCCTACAGTAATATGAAGAGGGTGTGTGTTTGTGTGTTGTTCAGAGTGTCTTCGTGATCCTGTGCCAGTGCTCTGTTGTATTGTTCCAGACAGGCGGGAACACTGGATTTACGCCAGATTTCACTTCTAATCTTTGCAAAAATTCTGCCTAACCTCTGGCTTATATTGAGAAAGAGGAGATAAAAAGACAGTCTTCACGTGCAGGAGTGTGTGTGTTCATTAGGCTCTGTTTACTGCTTAGGATCTCCTAGTAATGTCTGGAAAAACACAACGTGTTAGAGGGTGCAGGTAATTCTCATAATGCAGTGTCTTCCAGAATGTTGAACTGATTTTACTTCGCATGCCATCATGGATATCCTCAGGAGGTTTGCTGCAGGTACCCACCCACAAAAGTTTTGTCCTGGACCATGTGAATTTAAGCAGTGGGTCTTTATGCCATGTGAAGTTCTGCTTATTTGAACTCTTATACAATTAGTGGCGGTCACTTTGATCTCACTTTGATCTGCAAGGAAACGAGATGTTTGGGTGAGCTTGCGGGATATTACGTAATTTGGCTTTTAAAGCAGCCATAGCATTTCCTGTAGTATGACAGTGAGTGATAAGAATGAGGGATCAGCTTTTGATTCAATGACTGATTCAATGATGTTCGAAGGTCAAAGATCAATTTGATTAAACAAAGATCAGATTTTGGACATGAATTCAAGGCTTCTATTCATTACTGTACTGTTGTAAATAGTTTTTTGTTTTTTTTAAATGTTGTGCTTAAAAATACATAATGGATGTGTGTTATGTTTGTTTTTCCCTTTTTAGCCATCATGGAGGTCCATGAGGATTTCTTTGTGTACAAGAGTGGAATTTACCAGTGTTAGAGGGTGCAGGTAATTCTCATAATGCAGTGTCTTCCAGAATGTTGAACTGATTTTACTTCGCATGCCATCATGGATGTCCTCAGGAGGTTTGCTGCAGGTACCCACCCACAAAAGTTTTGTCCTGGACCATGTGAATTTAAGCAGTGGGTCTTTATGCCATGTGAAGTTCTGCTTATTTGAACTCTTATACAATTAGTGGCGGTCACTTTGATCTCACTTTGATCTGCAAGGAAACGAGATGTTTGGGTGAGCTTGCGGGATATTACGTAATTTGGCTTTTAAAGCAGCCATAGCATTTCCTGTAGTATGACAGTGAGTGATAAGAATGAGGGATCAGCTTTTGATTCAATGACTGATTCAATGATGTTCGAAGGTCAAAGATCAATTTGATTAAACAAAGATCAGATTTTGGACATGAATTCAAGGCTTCTATTCATTACTGTACTGTTGTAAATAGTTTTTTGTTTTTTTTAAATGTTGTGCTTAAAAATACATAATGGATGTGTGTTATGTTTGTTTTTCCCTTTTTAGCCATCATGGAGGTCCATGAGGATTTCTTTGTGTACAAGAGTGGAATTTACCGACATACAGATGTCAATTACCACAAACCATCAGAGTACCGCAATCATGCAACACACTCTGTCAGAATAACAGGGTAAGCTCTAGCATTGCATAACCTTTCATCTCTAATGGTGGAAGCAAGTGGAATGAGTATCTGGCAGTGTTTCAGAGAAAGTTCTTAGGCAACAAAAGGTCTCTGTCTCTCTTTTACACCATTTGTCGTTTTCTGATACTGATAGACAGATAGCTAGACAGACAGACAGACAGAAACAGACTCTTTAGGACATCTTTAGGTCTTTCCCATTTAAGCAGACAGGAGCTGTGTTTGCATGACTGGGGGCATCACCGTGATGGCTGAGGAATGAATTAACTTGCCTTGAAGGGACTTGATAATATTTAAGACATAAGCTCGTTTAGAGAACCATCATGGCCCCACTTGACATGTTTTTGTTACTGCTAGCAGACAAAACACCTGGATGACTGGCCTTCCAGTTCCACCCCCAGACACACACCCCTCAAAGCCTTTGTCTGGTTTTGCTATACTCACTCATACATAACACACCTTAATAGCACTACTTCTCATTTAGTCAGCTTCTCAACAGAGACTACTACATTAGTTTGCTCATCAATTACCAATTTACTCAACTGCTTAGAGAACACTTGTAAATCAACAATCAGGTAAAATAGTAAGGATTCACTTTACTTTGTCATAAAAAATGGTTGAAATTAGCAGAAAATATACAACTCAGACCACTATTGTTTTGATTTGAAATCTTCTGAAACGGTGTCCCCAAAGATGAAGCATTTTTCAACAAATGTGCCTGAGAGATTCTTGCTGTGCATAAATGTGGTTCTTGAGCTGCGCAGAAGCACTATAGTCTTTCCCAGACAGTGATTGTTTAGTAAGACATTGAGAGGCTCAGTCGGGTCAGGCCATGTTCCCCAGGTATGTCTCTGGTAACCTCGGCTGACCTGCCGCTGGTGTCTGTGAGTGTGACATGCTTCAGTGGTGATGGCGATATAAATCGCGAGTCTGTCTGAGCCCCAGCTTTTCTCCTGGCCTGCTGTCACTCGCTGACGCTGCGGTTCTCGCACTAC